GCCACAAGAAGCTGGAAGAGACAGGAAAAATCCTCCCCTAGAGCCTTCAGAGGGAACGTGGGCCTGCCGACACCTTGATTTTGAACTTCTTGTCCCCTTCATTCCCACTTGAGAAAGTGCACCAGGATGCAAAAGCCAATGTCATTATTACAGGATGGTCCATCTTGCATCTACTCTAATGTATGTACAAAAAATAATTTTCCAAAGTTTGATGATGATTTTTCTTGATTTTTAAACTATTTTTAACTTTTAACTATTATTTCTAAGAACTGGGAACACATTTTGCAAGGCTCACAGCCCCTGGCCCAGAACCTCTGTCCCGGGGAACAAGCTTGTGAAGGGATTTCTGTCTGTGTCAATAATCCATGCTCACCTTTCTCCTGAGCCATCTCCTGCAGACAGAAGTAGATGACTCTGGCTCCCAGGCTGAAGCCAATCAAGGTGACAGGTCGCCGGCCCTGAAGGGAAAAAGGACACAGGTGTCTGGAGGGAATACAGCCAGTTATAGCAAAACATCAGGCCTGAGGAGGGCAGCCTTTGCACGTTCCTTATTACCTGATTCTCATCTAATGAATCATGCATGTGCTATTGCGGTCCCTGAGCTCTGATGTCTTAATCAGCAGAGTCAGGACCTTCATTTATGCAGGAGTGCACCTGCTGCTGAAATTGGCTTCCTCCAAGGCCAACAGGCAGCCCCCGGCTGGGTTAATTCCCTTTCATCTCAAACCATTACCCAGCCACCATCTCATCTTCCCCAGGAGACGGGGCTAGTCAATTACAAGAGCAACTTCCCTTGGACTGATCTGCCTTGTGGCAAATGGCTGCAGTGCTGCAGGACCCCTTTTGGAGCTGGGGAGATTAGACAGAAGGCACCCCCGGGTGTGAGGGGTAAAAAGGCAAGAGTGACAAGGGAGGGACAACTGTTCTGTTTCTAGATAGGAAGGTGGGGCACAAAATATTGGCTCTAAGTGACAAGATAAGGTAGTAAGTCAGATGGAAAGAGGAATTTTCTGACTCAAGGACTTGTAGTAAAGGCAATTCATTATGTGAAGACTCTAAAGAAAATGAAAGTTATCTGGGGGTGTCTGGGTACAAGCTTACACGGAAGGAGACGAGGGGAGTGGATGAACTCTGGATGCCCAGCCTGGTTTTATCAGTCTATTCCTTTTCCTTGGTTTTGAGCCAATACACGTATTCCACACCCCCACACCACTCCACTTACCACAGTAGAAAATCCTTTGTTAAACAGTATTCAAATCCCGCAGGAGCTTTGTGCCAACCCTGCTGGCTGCTGCCCAATATCATTCTCCCCTTTGTCCTTTACTCCTGAGTTTGACTGGGCATGCGGCCACCCAGCCAAAGACGAAGTCTCCCGGACTCCTCCATAGCTAGGGGTGGCCACAGGGCTGAGACTTAGCCAAGGGACTGAAGGCAAGCAAAAGCTGTGACTTCTAGGCATACTCCTCATCCCGACTTCCCTACCTCCCACTGTCTGAAACACACACGTAATGCGGGAAGATCTGTCTTGGACAAGAGAGAAGCCCGGTCAGGCACGGTGGCTCACGCCTGTAATCCCAGCACTTTGGGAGGCCAAGGCGGGCAGACCACTTGAGGTCAGGTGTTTGAGCCAGCCTGGCCAACATGGTGAAACCCCATTTCTACTAAAAACATACAAAAATTAGCCAGGTGTGGTGGCAGGCACCTGTAGTCCCAGCTACTCGGGAGGCTGAGACAGGAGAATCAGTGAACCTGGGAGGCGGAAGTTGCAGTGAGCTGAGATCATGCTACTGTACTACAGCCTGGGTGATAAAGCGAGACTCCGTCAAAAAAAAAAAAAAAGAGAGAGAGAGAGAGAAGCCCAGTACTCAGGATGAGAGGCCAGGAGAGTAAAGCAGGCTGGACTTCCAATATTACGAAGCTGCCCATGTGGGAGACAGAATAATGCCTTCCCATGGATGTGTTCATCCTAATCCCTGGAACCTGTGAATGCTGCCTTGTACAGCAAAGGGCCTTTGTTATTTATTTATTATTTATTTTATTTTAATTAATTATTTTTTTTGAGATGCAGTCTTGCTCTGTTGCCTAGGCTGAATGAAATGCAGTGGTGTGATCTCAGCTCACTGAAACCTCCACCTCCTGGGCTCAAGCGATCCTCCTGCCTCAGCCTCCTGAGTAGCTGGCACTACAGGTACGTGACATCACACTCAGTTAATTTTTTTTTTTTTTTGTATTGTTAGTAGAGACAGGGTTTCATCACGTTGGCCAAGCTGATCTCCAACTCCTGACCTCAAGCAATCCACCTGCCTCAGACTCCCAAAGTGCTGGGATTATTAGGCATGAGCCACTGCACCTGGCCTATTTATTTATTTTTGAGACGGAGTCTCACTCTGTCGCCCAGGCTGGAGTGCCGTGGCACGATCTGGGATCACTGCAACCTCTGCCTCCCAGGTTCAAGTGATTCTCATGCCTCAGCCACCCGAGTAGATGGGATTACAGGTGCACACCACCTCGCCCAGCTGATTTTTGTATTTTTAGTAGAGACAGGGTTTCACTATGTTGGCCAGACTGATCTTGAACTCCTGACCTCAGGTGATCTGAGTGCCTCGGCCTTCCAAAGTGCTGGGATTACAGGCATGAGCCACTTGTGCCCGGCTGGCCCTTTGTTATTTATTTATTTGAGACAGGGTCCCACTCTGTCATCCAGGCTAGAGTACAGCGATGCAATCACAGCTTACTGTAGCTTCCACCTCCTGGGCTCCAGTGATCCTCCCACCTTAGCCTCCTAAACAGCTGGGACTACAGGCATAAGCTACCACACCCAGCTAATTTTTGTATTTTTTGTGGAGACAGGGTTTATCGTGTTGCCCAGGCCGGTTTCTTGGGCTAAAGCAATCTGCCTGCCTTGGCCTCCCAAAGTGCTAGGATTATAGGCATGAACCACCTTGCCCACGAGGCCAACAAAGGATTTTTGCAGACGTGATTAAGTTTAGGATCTTCAGATGGGGAGATGATTCTGGATTATCTGGGAGGAACCAAGGTCATCACAAGCGTCCCTACAAGAGGGAGGCAGGAGGCATCAGTTAGACAGAAGGTGATGTGAGGATGGAAGCTGAGGAATAGAGAGATTTCAAGGTGTTACACAGCTGGCTTTGACGGTGAAGGAATGGGGCCTTTGAAAGCTGGCAAAGGCAAGGAAAGGGGATCCTCCCTAAGGCATGCATTTTTGCCTTTTGACCTCCAGAGCTGTAAAATAGTAATCTGTTTTCAGCGGATAAATTTGTGGTAATTTGTTACAGTGGCAGTAGGAAATGAACACATCAGCTTGCCCCAGATGCTGACCCCCAGACTGTTCCTTGGGAGAGAACAAACTTCTATCTTCTCTAAGCCAATGCCACTTTGGCCTTTGCCTTAGAGTCAAGCCTGCCAAAGGACTTTTCTGTTTCTTGCGACAAAGACACAGGGATTGAAGCGGGTGGCCAGTTTCTCAAGCAGTTTACCTGCATGGCAGGAACTGCTAGTTGTCATCCCTCAGCATCCATCCTCCCTTTTTTTTCCATAGTAATTGAATTTCAGCTGGGTTCATCGTCACTTAGAATAAGTACTGTATTTCCCAGCTTCTGTGGCAGCTAGGAATGGTCATGTGACTAGGCTCTGGCCAGCAAGACACCAGCTGAAATGTTGTAAGGCTTTCCTGGTTCTTCTTCAGTTCTTCCTTTCTCCCGCTCCCTGGAGCTCAGATGATGCCATCTTGGATACAAGGTCAAGACCACAGAGCAACAAGGTAGCAGGAACCTGGGCCTCTGCACCACGGCAGGCTGTTAGGCAACCTTGCTAGGCTTCTCCAGGAAAATAAGCTTCTACCTTGTTTAAGCCATTGTTATTTTGGGTTTTCTCCCACTTCCAGCCAAAACAAATCCTGACAATGCAGTCATTTCTGGTACTATTTCTCAAGCTTTTGTCTCCATTCACTCGAGTTTATTTTGAAGGGGATGGTTTTATTCTGTTGGTAAGTACATCTTTACTAGATTCAAATTTAAAAAGTATTACGATGATGTCTCTTCCTAACCATTTTACACGGTATTTAGACCACCGAAGATGACCTCACAAAGTAGCTTTACACTTCTGGGAAGGAACACCAGGCTACCAGCATGTGGGAATTCCACTGGTGGCCAGCTGAGGCACCTGGTCTTATTCATTTTACTGGCTTCACTGCAAACTGAGTCAGAGGTTTCCACTGAAATATCGCCCCAATGAGCCCAACAATTATCCTCAATGCTTGAATGAAGAGCTGCCACTCAGGAGCCACTTTTGCTTCTGCCAGAGTCCCCCAGACTTGTTCCTACCTGCAGATGCCCCTGTTACTCAGTCCTCACCTAAATACCTGCTAGAGCTACAAAGTCTATAATTCTTACTGTACATCCTAGGACACATTCATTACTTGAACTGGAGGGGCAGCAAGGACTCCTCATCCCCCCAAAACCACTGGGTCACCTCCAAGTAGCCCTGCCCCTCCTCCAAGTAGCCTTGCCTCTAAGGCTGATGTCTGTGAACAAGTCAGCCCCTGACTTCCCCTCTTGCCCCATGCCACGCCCACACAGCCATTCCCAGGTACCTGCTGCCGGGAAAGCAGGATGTGCGCCAGGTGCTTGCCAACCTCTGCTGATCGATGGAGACACACCCCCCACGGGTTGTCGATGACATTGGCGACACTGAGGAGTGAGGCTGGCCAGGTCAGGGCAGCCACAATGCCTGGGGAGGTGAGATAGTGATGAAGGGAATGGCCTCCATCCCAGGGTCCTACTAGGGAAGTGACTGGCTAACAGATGCTGGAACGAATGCATGCAGTCTCTAACTTGGACCTGCAAGCTTGCCAAGTATTGTCGAACTGCTAACGAGCAAAGCAATCTGAAACTCATGAATTTCTGATATACGGACTCAATCCCTTCTGCTCAAGTCCTTGTTACGTGTGAGATGGCCCCAATTCGTCTCCACACCTTGTACCCTCCCACTTTGCGTCATAACTCTGCAGGGGGGCCCCCTGCCCTGCCCATCCCCTCTAGACTCAGTCATATTACTTGCTTTTGCCAAAGACATTAGTAGATGTGAGGCTTGAAGTGGACTTGTGCATCAGGGCTAGCCTCTTGTGCTTCCATCGTTGACATGGGCTTGTCTGTTCATCCCAGCAGGAGGATGAGAGACAAATGGAGCAGAGCCGAGTCGCCCCAGACAAGGCCAGTACTGATTGGTGGACGGTCAGCAGACCCATAGGCCCAGCTAAGATCCGCCAACTCCAGCCTCCTGGCTCCTGAACTTTACAGTAAACATCCCACGGAGTTTTGGGGTGGCTTGCCGCGCAGCAATAGCTGACAGACAGATCATGCGACTGGCTGTTTGCCTGTCTTCTCTCCATAGGGATCATAAACTTCTCCCAGACAGGAATGCGGCCTTAACCTCTCTGTGTTCCTAGGGTCCAGCATGGTGCATGCCCTGGGGGTTTTGGGCATGTAAAACTATGCTACCACTGGGGGACGAAGGCAGTGGGCATGCTGTTGTTGTGGGGCAGGTAGGGGGGCTTACCAGACAATACTGTGTACTTTAGAGCCTCCTGGGCCACCATGTTGGCGAGACCACTGAGGATGGTCTCCAGGGCGTTGCCGAGCTCCATCAGGTACTTGGCTTCCCAGGCCAGGCAGTACTGCTCACGGCTGTGGGCCAGGGCGGCCCATGGGGCACTGAAGGTGCCTGGGGAGATCACAGGTAGGTGAAGTCTCTCTTGTCTATGGCAGAGGATGCCCCACTCCATCACCCCAGACAGGCAGCACCAGGACCACTCACCCTTGTTGGAAGACAAGAGGTCCACCCCCTGCCAATGAGTGGCAGCTGTCAGCAGAGCTAACAGAGCTCTGTGCAGCCCAGTGGGTCAGCAGGCTGGGCTTGAATCCCAGATCCTGCATTCACTAGAAGCCAGGTGACCCTGAGATAGTGAGATAGTGGGCACATCACTATCTCACCTTGAGCCTCGCTTTGCTTCTATGTGAAGTGGGAAGATGGTTTATCTCCCTTCATAGGGTAGGTATAGGAATGAAGTGTGTTTGAACTACGATATATGTAAAGGGTTATTTTCTCTCACGCTGAAATAATTCTGGCATTAAGCTGCTCATGACATAGAACGAGAGCACACAATGGGACAAGCAGTGCGGCGCTGTGAGTCTGCGGCATCTTGATTTGACAAACATGGCCTGGGAGATAGCTAGAAATTTGGGGAAGAGGTGTTTGAGCCTGGCTCTGTTATCATCTTCCTGGGTCATCTAATTTTCCTGAGCCTCAATTTTCTCACTGAGGAAATATAAATATCAAATGACCCACGGGAGGAGGATGAGACAGCACCACTGTAGCGGTCGATGCCAAGTCGGAAAGTATATCCATGACACTTGCCTCCCTCATCCCCTCCTTCCTTGCCCACCTGGCTGCCTTCAGGATAGGAGCACAGAGGGGCCCCTAATCTGGCCCCCATGCATTTCTGCTTGTGGCCCAAGTGATTTTCCTTTTCTTTTTTTGAGACAGAGTTTTGCTTTTTTTCCCAGTCTGGAGTGCACTGGCACCATCTTGGCTCACTGCAACCTCCGCCTCCTGGGTTCAAGTGATTCTCCTACCTCAGCCTCCTGAGTAGCTGGGATTATAGGCACCCACCACCACACCCAGCTAATTTTTGTATATTGTTAGTAGAGATGGGGTTTCATCATATTGGCCAGGCTGGTCTCGAACTCCTGACCTCAAGTGATCCACCCGCCTCGGCCTCCCAAAGTGCTGGGATTATAGGCGTGAACCACTGCGCCCAGCGCAAGTGACTTTTTCAAAACACAAATCTTCTCCCGCTCCTGCCTAAAACCCTTCATGAGCTCCCAGATCATACATCAGTTCCCCTAGATTACTACCACTTGTCCTTGAGATTCCAGTCCAATTGCCTCTTCCATGTGGAAGCCTTCCCAGCTCCTCTGACAAATCAAATGCACCCTCCTCTTTTCCCGTAAGTTCTTATCACAGTCTGTAATTATTCACTATTTTCACATCCTGTTTGACGTGTGCCTCTCCTACAGTCTGTTTTATCAAACACTATATTCCCAAAGCCTGGTGATGTGATGCACAGTAAGCGCTCATTAAACACCATGTGGGAATGGAGGGGTGGAGACAGCTTCCTGGGGCGGCCTGCAGGTTCTGAGCATCAACCTCAGGCCTCTACTTGCCTGCCCCAAAGCTCATCCTTACCTGCAGGGCGCCACGTCTGCACAAGAACAACCCTGCAGCTGCTCCCCTCCCTCTGTGGGGACCCTGTCTCAGCTCAGCAACAACTTGGGGATCAATTGCCTCTCATTATGAATAAGGTGATAGTCAGCCCCGAGAGAGGAGATGGGCCCAGGACAGCGAGGAGCACGGGCTTGATGCCAGCCTGGGTTCTGAACCCAGCTCGATGGCTTCCACTGGTGTGACTCACAGCAAGGCACAGTGTCCTTCTGACCCCTGGTTTCCACATTTGTAAGGATGGAATAATAACATCTGACTCACGGGTGTGGTGGGGATCACATGAGATGCTGCATAAGGCGTTGTATACTTTGGGAGGCCGAGGTGGGTAGATCACGACGTCAAGAGATCGAGACCATCCTGGCCAACATGGTGAAACCCCGTCTCTACTAAAAAAACTAGCTGGGCGTGGTGGCACGTGCCTGTAATTCCAGCTACTCAGGAGGCTGAGGCAGGAGAATCGCTGGAATCCGGGAGGCGGAGGTTGCAGTGAGCCGAGATTGCGCAACTGCACTCCAGTCTGGTGATAGAGCAAGACTTCGTCTCAAAAAGAAAAAAAGAAATAAAAAAAATTAAAAAAATTAAAAAAATAAAAAGGTGTTGTATAAACTGTAAAGTGCTCTACTGCATTGTGCTGTCCCGTGGCCAAGAATATGGGCTGTGGAGCCAGACAGAATGGGGGTGAATCCTGCCCCTGCCCCTGACTAGCTGGGTGACCCTGGGCACCCCTTATGAGCCTCAGTTTCCTCATCTGGAAAATGGGAGGGCGAATGATGGCCCCTTCCCTGGACTGAAGTGAGGAGCTAAATGAGCCAGTGCATATGAAGGGCTTGGCCGTTGGCTACAAAGTTTTTATCTTTATTGTACATAATCAGGACTAATAAAGGGGTGGGCCAAAGAAAGTCTGGTTATTCCTATCACATAGAAAAAGCAACCTTGTGATGATAAGGCTTCTTTTCCTGGCTCTCGAGGAGGTAGGAATACATGATATTTTTTCCTTCTGACACTTTCTGTAGCTTGATTATATTTCTTTTACCCAGTCCTTTCCCTGGGTGCCCCACCACACTAGACTGCTGGAGATCAGTGAAGACTTTCCTCATCCACAAATGAACTTGACCCTTAACCTGGGGCAAACTGAACAAATGGGGGCAAAATGAAGAAAGGACTTTGCTTTCCATGCCTGCCAGACTTGCAAATTCCTTTACCTGGGCTCTTGTTCTTGCTCCCTCCTGTAGCATGGTAAAATGAAAACAAATGAAAGGAAACCCTGGGCATTGGATCAGGAGACCTGGGTTTGAATTCTGCATCTGCTACTCTCCTGCCAGGGTTCCTCTTCCAACAGTTCAGGGTCAGAACAGCCTCACCTCGGAGGGTGGAAGTGAGGTTTCTAGGAGGTAACCACACCAAGTTCCTACTGTGCTGGTAAAATGCCAGACTCAGGGTAGGTGTGAAGGAGGCGCTCACTGAACGCTAGTGACCTCTGTGCATGGGTGGGGCCTGGCGGTCACGCACCAATAAGACCCGGCGCCTGGTGACACCTCTAAACGTTTTTCGCTGGCTTTCTTCTGCGTGGTTTGGCAGATCTGCGACTTCTGTCCTCAGGTCAGAGACTTGGGAACCCAGGAGGCTCCGGGGGGGGGCGTGCCTGAGTGGCCAGGTTGGGACGTTTAGGATTCCTGCGCTCACCCTGCTCTTTCTCTAAGGGATGCAGTGTTTGTTGTTTGTTGAGCCTCTCGCTGGGCACTTGCAGGGGTCAGCCAAGCAACAAGTGGACCATGGTGTGAGTCCTCAATGCCACCCTGGCTAGAATCCCCCAAAATATGCACGTTCAAATTAGAACAGCAAAGGGAACTAAGGTTGCGTCATGCCAACGAGAAATCACGTGATGTTCATGCATTTCCTCACTTAATCTTTGCAGTATCCTGAAAAGGTGGCAAAAATTCGTTCCACTTTACAAAAGAAGTAGCTGAGATACAGAGAAGTTACATAACCTGCTGAGGTCATGTAGCCAACACATACTGATCTCCCACTCACGTGCTTAAAGTCCTTTGCTATCTTCCACTTGCTCTGAGGACAAATTCAAACTTCTTGCCACAGCTCACACGCTCCTGCGTGGTCTGGCTCCACCCACATTCCTGCCTTCTGGCTCCCTGCTGCCATCCTGTGCCATCCTGTGCTCTTTTGGTTCTTTCAAACCACTGGGCCTTTGCACCTGCTGTCCTTTGGCTTGGAATACACTTTCTGCTCCTGGTTTATTGGGCTAATTCCCAGCTAGCCTTAGCCTAAATGTTACTTCCTTCAGAATCTTCCCCAGAAAAAACCCTGTGCTTCCCCTATTGTGCCATCCATAAAGCTCCCATTTAGTTACTTGGTCTGTCTTCTATCTTAGGCTGTATGTTCTGTGGGACTAGAGGCCATGGCTGTGCTGCTCACCGCTGAATTCCTAAGACCTGGTTCAGTATATGACACATGGTAAGTACAGCAGTTTATAAATACTGCTACATGGACAGATAGGTGGATGGGTGGATGGATTAATAGATGGGTGGGCGGATGGGTGGGTGGATGGGTGGATAGGGAGAAGGGTGGATGGATGAATGAATGGGTGGGCACATGGATAGATAGGTAGAAGTGTGGATGGATGGATGGGTTGATGGGTGGGTAGACAGGTGAGTGGGTGGACAGGTAGATAGGTAGAAGAGTAGATGGATGGATGGATAGATAGAAGGATGGTTAAATGGGTGGGTAGATGGATAAACAGGTGGGTGGGCGGATGGGTGAATAGGTAGAAGGGTGGGTGGGTGGATGGATGGATGGATGGATGGATGGATGGATGGGTGGATGGATGAATGGGTGGATGGATGGGTGGATGGATGAATGGGTGGATGGATGGGTGAATGGACAGGGGGGTGGGTGGTTGGGTAGGTGGATAGATGGATGGAGAGATGATGGGCAGGTAGATAGATGTGAGATGAAGTTACCTCACCTCTCTGAGCCTCAGTTTCTTCCTCTGCAAAATGGGGCTCCCCATCACTGCTCCCTAGCCCAGGTAAAAACCTAGCCCAGGATCTGGCCCAGGCCAGCCACTGCCCACCCCCCTCCACTTCTGGTCCTCCTGGTCCTCACGGTATTTGCCGGACGCGAGCCACCCAGTGATGGCGATGGTGATGTGCAGCTGCCTGCCCTCCGTCAGAGGCAGAAATGTGAACTCTTCAATGGCTCCCACTCGCTTCTTCATCTTGTATCCTAAAGACCCAGATCCAAGAAAGAGAATGGAGGTAACTGGGGCACCGGGGAACATCAGGGTGGCTGTATGTGCTCACACATGCACACAGTGAGGGCCGTCTGTGTGCCCTCCCCCTGGAAAAACATCCAACATTGTGTTTGAACTCATTAAGGTGGGTGCCATTATTGTCCCTGATTACAGACGAAAGCAAGAAGCTGCGGCTGAAGCTGGCCGGTCCCAAGTGGAAGAGCTGGTTTGGACCTCAGAGCCCAGGCTCTTACCCATTGCTCTGCCCTGGTTCTGTTTCTCTTCTCCCACCCACACACTGCAGGGGTAGAACACACTCCACTTAGTAACCGCGAATCAAATAGACCAAGAGTCTCAGCAGGGGAGCAAACTCCTCTTGGGGAGTTGAGCAGGAATGTCTGTGCATGACGGGGTTGAGGGAGTGGGACGGGGGCTGTTGCTGACAGATATCATTTGGAAAAACTCCCCCAGGTGATGCTGCTCAGGGAAGGGCAGCCATGTTCTCCCCAAACACGAGGAAGCCCAAGCATGGAAACTTCCGGATGGTGGAAGCAGGTTCAGATGGGGCTTTTCTCAGGAAGTACACACAGTTGCATGGGGAAAAAGCCAGCTTCTCAAACTCGGCCCTTACCCTGACCCACGCGAGCTCTGGGAAGCCTGGGACCCAGAGTGAGAAAAGCCACGTTTCCTCTGTCTCCCAGGGAGCCACTGCTGGTGAGAATCCAGGCATGTTCTTTTAGGAACTGGGCCGCCCTCGCTGAAAATTCCTCTGAACCCATCATTCCTTTTGAACCTTACCTGTCAGGCCAGCTCCAGCTGCACCAAACAGCGAGGTCATGATGGCTATGCCGGCTGCTGAGCCCAGAGCCGCCGCCCCCGCGCTGCCAATAATCGTCGCTGCTCCAGCGGCAACAAGGGGCGCAGCTAGACCTCCGGTCACACCTGTGGGAAAAGCAGCAGTTTTAAGTGGGAGTAAAAATGTGGTGGCCGGGCGCGGTAGCTCACGCCTGTAATCCCAGCACTTTGGGACGCTAAGGCGGGCGGATCACGAGGTCAGGAGATCGAGACCATCCTGGCTAACATGGTGAAACCTCGTCTCTACTAAAAATACAAAAAATTAGCTGGGCGTGCTGGCGGGTGCCTGTAGTCCCAGCTACTTGGGAGGCTGAGACAGGAGAATGGCGTGAATCCGGGAGACAGAGCTTGCAGTGAGCCGAGATCGCGCCACTGCACTCCAACCTGGGCGACAGAGCAAGACACTGTCTCAAAAAAAAAAAAAAAAAAAAAAAAAATGTGTGGCTTGATGAGTTTTTACCCCTCAGCTACCTAATGCCTCCCATGGAAGCTTCTGACAGTGCTGATGAGCATACTGACTACTCACTGACTACCTACCGCATGCCAGGAGCCACCTCCCAGCTGAGCCCCTGCACTCTCCACTCTCACCCACAGCCTGGCATCATGTCTCTGTCTGCAAAACCCGGACCTGTGCCACCATCTCCAGCTGGACTCACCGATCACTGTTCCGCCTCCGACAGTCGCCAGGCCTATCAGGAGATAACGCTTCCATTTCCTCCGGTTTTCTTTCTTCTTCCGGGATGCCTCGGCCATTCTGAGGGAAAAGAGGGTGGTCTTTAGGGCCAGCTGTGCCCAGGATCCCTTGAGACATCCCCACCACACCAACCCTCAAACAGGGGCCAATGCTGGGTAGCTACTCTGCCACTCAGAGTAAGGGACCAAAGTCACCCTGAGCCCGTTGATGGTTTAAAAAGCTGAAAACATTCTAAAAGCCAGCCGAGGAATCTCAGTGCATGGGATGTACTACTTACCCAATGGATCCATCCTAACAGGGTTGCAATTTGAATAATAAAAAGACAAAAAAAATAATAATAATAGCAAGAGAAGCACAAAAAAGATCTTTAAACAGATGGTCCCAGAAGAAGCACAAAATAGATAATCACAGACTCCGTCACCTCCCTCCTCCCCTCCCTTCTTCCCCACCCTGTCATCTGATCCCACCTCCCTCTGGGACATTTGGAAACCAATTTCCTTCAAAATGATCATTTTGAAGATGGGAGACCTTGACCTTGGAGCAGTAGCTAGACTTGTTCAGACTTGAAACGGAAATGCTAAAAAATTTAGCAAAAGGAAAACATTTAGAGTGAATTGGGGTCAGGTGAGCCCTGAGAACTGATGTTGTGAGCACTCAAGAGTCAGGAAGCCCAATTTTCCTATTGGACATTCAGCCCTCAGCCCCTTTGCTGCGGCTGGGATGGAGAGGTTATTAAGTGGGAACTCTGAACTGAGGTTGGAGTCTGAACAATAACTCAGTGTGGAGTGATAGCAAAGCATGGTGATAATCAAAGAAGAAAAATGGTTAACCTTTACCGAGGGCTTCTTACATCTCAGCCACTGGGCTTTGCACTTCACAGGGTTAATCTTATCCTAAGAAGCAGTATGGTTATTGTACCCATATTATAGATGACTTAAGGGATAACAGTCCCTACCTCCCCATGAACTGTGAGGCTCCAGTAATAGATTATCTGTAAAGCATTTAGCACAGTGGCCGGCACACTGCAAGGGTTCAGTGCAATCAGGGCTGATGTCATCACGATGCTGCATCTCCCCAAGCCTCAGTTTCCTCTTTCGTCAAAAGGTGGATACTAATTTCTACCTCATAAAGTTGTTGGTTTGTAAGGATTAATTTCATTCCTTCTTCGTCCATTCAGTCAATAAAGTTATATTGAGAATGGATGATGTGCTGTGTTTTTGCATCTCCACGAGCAGAAAAATGTATGTGCTCAACCAGTACCTGTATCCTTCCCTTCTCCCTCCTCATGAACCATACACTTCATTGAGAAATAGCTCCTTCTCCAGTCATCTAAAAGAAATGGGATTTGGCCAGGTATGGTGGCTCACATCTGTAACCCCAGCACTTTGGGAGGCCGAGGCAGGTGGATCACCTGAGGTCAGGAGTTTGAGACCAGCCTGGTCAATATGGTGAAACCCCACCTCTACTAAAAACACAAAAATTAGCCAGGCATTGGGGCGGGCACCTGTAATGCCAGCTACACAGGAGTCTGATGTAGGAGAATTACTTGAACCCAGGAGGAGGAGATTGCAGTGAGCTGAGATCGTACCACTGCACTCCAGCTTGGGAATAGAGTGAGACTGTGTCTCAAAATAAATAAATAAATAAATACATACATACATACATACATACATACATAAACAAAATGGGATTTCAGTTGGGCATCTGGGGACCTGCTGTGCTTTTTGGTTCCCTGCCAGTTCACCTCAACAGATTTTTTTCCTAAGCATCTCCTGGGTGTCAAGCCCAGTGTTTCTCAGTCACGTCATTACACAGAAGCAGAAACCAATAGTAAAAATCTCTGTGCATATCATGATGCTGGTTTTCCACGATTGAAATTCACGTCATCGGTAGTGTGGGATGAGGCTGAACCACGTGCATCTAGCACAGTGGGAGGCAGGAGGGCCATCAAGATGGAGGGTTCTAATGTCAGGATTCAAACTGTGGATGTAGGCATGAATCCTAGCTCTGCTGTTGTAGTAGCTGTGTCACCATTCTCCACATATTCCGTTATCCCTCTTACAGAAAGATTATGCATCCCTGCCCTGTTGAACTGAGTGGTCATAGGACCAGCTTTAGCCAGTCAAATGTAGGTAGAGGTGATATGTGTCACTTCTGGCAGAATCTTTTTTTTTCCCCCTTTCTTTTTTTGAGACAAGGTCCGGCTCTGTTGCCCAAGCTGGAGTGCAGTGGTGGGATCTTGGCTCACTGCAACCTCCACCTCTTAGGTTCAAGTGATCCTCCTGCCTCAGCCTCCCAAGTAGATGGGATTATAGATATGTGCCACCATGCTTGGCTAATTTTTGTATTTTTTGTAGACATGGGGTTTTGCCATGTTGCCCAGGCTGGTCTCAAACTCCTGGGGTCAAGTGATCCACCTGCCTCAGCCTCCCAAAGTGCTGGGACTACAGGTGTGAGCCACCATGCTGGGACAACTGGCAGAATCTTTAAAGCCGGTGCAGGAAAGTGATTCATCTTCTTTCTCTCTGCCCCCAAACCAGCAATAATCTAGATGGGGTCACTCTGTCAGCCTGGGACCCAGAACCAGGACAATGTGAATTCAAGCTACAGCCAATCTGCAATGGACACACAGTATGAACAAGAAATACACCTTTAATCCTGTAAGCTGCTGAGACTTATCTGGGGGGTCACTTGTTATGGCAGCAAAACCTAGCCTATCCCCACAACAGACAGAACCACTTAATAACTTTGTGACTATGTACAAATTATTTGTCACATCTGAGTTTCCTCAACCAACAAATGGGGATAATAACAGTACTGAATTTCCAGGGGTATTGTGAGGACTAAATGAGACAGAGACACTGAGACATAGTGACTACCATCCTGTAATTATTCAATATGTTTATTGCTATTATCACTCTCTTCATTACTATTGTAATAATTTCCTCCTCAACACAGGCTGGCGATATACTTTGACCCTTAACTGCCTTAACCCTTAATTGATAACTCTTTATTCAGTTCGAAGTGGAAGGCTGAAGATTACTGACTTTCGGCAGAGTTCAAGGCCGAAGAAAACATTCAAGTTGCTGACGATACATGATGGGAATGTGCAACTAGACAGGCGATGTGGCACTGAGTCAGTGGCATCTTGATTCAACAAACATGGCCTGGAAATAGTCTGGAAATCTGGAGAAGAGGTGTTTGAGCTCAGCTCTGCCATGAACTTGCTGGATCATCTCATTTTTCTGAGTGTTGATTTTCTCGCTTAGGAAATGTAACTATCAAATGACCCATGGACAGATGATGAGATGGCACACTGCAGTGGCCAATGCCAAGTATTAATAGAAAAATATAACCATGACTATCTGTCTCTCTCTCCTCTTCCCTCCTTGCCTGCCTGGTTGCCTTCAGGACACTGTCATCTCTCCCCACTGTGACACTTACGCCCTCTGTGTCCTGACCCTTCTCTCCCCCTCTAGCTTCAACACTAATCACTTCCTCACTGACACATCACCCTTGGGAAATACTGAGCTGCCTCCAGTCACCTTCTGGTCCCTGGCCATCAAGGACCTCCCCGCCTTCCTGTGACTACTTCAACATTACTCAACTTTCAGGAGTCAGCCGAGGTGGGACACATCCTCCGGAAAGACTGGCCAAAACCCCAAGGTTGCTGAGATGCCCTGACTCTGGGCCCACTAGACTCTGTGCCACATTATCCTGGAATTCTACACCAGTGATTTGCAGAGGGTGGGCATCAGAATCACCAGGGGGTGCCTGTTAAAAACATAGCTTCCTGGGGCCGAATCTCTGGGTCTAAGGATAAAGATTCTGTATCGGTAACAAGCTCCTCCTCCAGGGATTCTGCTGTAACTCAAGTTTGAAAATTGCTGAGCTAAGCTCTCACAGCATGGACCAAGCCATTTCCAACTCCCCACCCTCAGCAGCTTGCCCTGGTCTTGGAAACTGAAGGGTACTCAGGAAATCTTTCTTGTAAAGAGCCTAATTATTCCAACAAGGATTGGAGGTGACCACTGTGTTGTGGTGATATACTCCCCAACTCACTGTCTACATCTCTGAAAACCAGAGAGGTACAGGAAGGACATGTTGGCTAAATACAAATATATAGGCTGGGCATGGTGGCTCTTGCCTGTAATCCTAGCACTTTGGGAGGCTGTGGTGGGAGGATCCCTTGAGCCCAGGAGTTCCACACCAGCTTGGGCAACAGGGTGAAATCCTGTCCCTATAAAAATAAAAAAATTAGCCGGGCATGGTGGTGCATGCCTGTGGTCCACCCTACTTGGAAGGCTGAGGTGGGAGGATCGCTTGAGCCTGCGAGGTCAAGGCTGCAGTGAGCCACTGCTGCAGTGATCATGCCACTGCACTCCAGTCTGGGTGACAGAGTAAGACTCTGTCTCCTCCATCTCCCTGACAAAAAGTTTATAAGCATGTGTTGATTTGAAAAGAAGATATTTTTTCCTAAAGTTACTTGGCTAAGGCACTCTCTCCTAACATTCAGCTGAATGGCAAATCTATGTCCCTGTTTAAGTATTTGCATGTTCTTAATAATTGTTTTGGGGGCCAGGCACGGTTGCTCGCACCTGTGGTCCCAGCACTTTGGGAAGCCGAGGCAGGCGGATCATGAGGTCAGGAGATCGAGACCATTCTGGCTAACACAGTGAAACCCCGTCTCTACTAAAAATACAAAAAATTAGCCGGGCGTGGTGGCGGGCATCCGTAGTCTCAGCTGCTCAGGAGGCTGAAGCAGGAGAACAGCGTGAACCCGGGAGGCGGAGCTTGCAGTGAGCCGAGATTGTGCCACTGCACTCCAGCCTGGGCGACAGAGTGAGACTTGGTCTCAAAAGAAAAAAAAATTGTTTTGTACATAAAATAGCTTTCTCAGGCATCGTTCGTTATTGCAGCACTACACTCTTACAATTACTTCAATTGTCTGATTGAATCTCAACACTGAAAGCAAAGGGGAGATGTTTGCTCTGAGTCACATTTACAACGCTAACACTCAGAGAACACCACGAAATCCGAATGACAGCCTTGCTCTCATCACTGACTGCCCGCTGATGAGACATTCAACGGTCACGTTGAAAACAAAGACGCGAACCTGAGTTGCCGTTTCCATGTGAGCTGCCCAAAGACAAAGGCTGAAACCACATGCAGATGTGGGCCAAATCCCAGGCTGAAGGACGCCCGCATTTTCTGTCTCACAGAACCACACATCTGTCTTTCTGTCATCTTATCTCCCATGAGAGGGTGTTTCCTGTCCTTATCCTCACCACACCTTCTGTTTTTAAATCACTTTTTTTTTTTTGTGCTGACAGATAGAGATAACTTATCACTGAGAGGTCTACACACACGTTCCTAGTAAAGGCCTGGATGGCCCCATAAAATCATTATCTTTCTTGTTTTCTTCAGAATAAAGGAGAAACCCTGCCACTGCCAGCCAGGTCTTGAGGGACACAGTGAGAGCCATTCAGACTGGACACGGTGGTTGAATCAGATGCTGCTGACCAGTCACGTGACCTAGGGTGAGTTATGCCACCCCTCTGACTTTATTTCTATATTTGTGAAACACTTAGGGGGCTGTTATGAGGATCGAGAGAGATGGCATCTTGTGCCTACATCTAGTAGGCATTCAAGAAAAATCTGATGCTGGCAACGTTCTTATGATGTGAGCAGTATCTTTACTAATTTATTTATTTTTAACTGTAATTTTTTTCTTTTTATGAGATGGAGTTTCACTCTTGTTGCCCAGGCTGGAGTATAATGGCATGATCTTGGCTCACTGCAACCTCTGTCTCCTGGGTTCAGGTGATTCTTCTGCCTCAGCCTCCCGAGTAGCTGGGATTACAGGCATGTGCCATCACACCCAGCTAATTTTTGTATTTTTAGTAGAGACGGGGTTTCACCATGTCGGTCAGGCTGGTCTCGAACTCCTGACCTCTGGTGATCCACCCGCCTCAGCCTCCCAAAGTGCTGGGATTACGACGTGAGCCATTGCAGCTGGCCTATGTGAGCAGTATCAACCCCAGCAGCTCATTAGCTCACATCTGCTGAGACTCTACTATGTGCCAAGCACGGGTCCCAGCTTTTGATATGTGTTAAGTAATTTAATCCTCTCAACAACGCCATGACGGCGATACTACCATTATCCTCATGTAAGAGATGAAGAAATGAGGCACAGAGAGGAGAGGTGAAGTCACTAAACAAGTGAGGGAAGCTGGGTGGCCTTAGGGCTCAGACGGGGACCCAGGAGCAGAGGGGTGGGACGGGTGGGACGTCACACTCTAGACCTCAGCTGCAAAGAGTCACCTTGGTGGGCCTAGTAAGGAACTCACCTCCCAGAAACACAAAACCTTACAGTCAAAAGAAATCTACATATCATTCAATCCCTTAATTGTTTAGGTAAACAACGAAAATGTGTGCTGGTGTCCACGGAGGGAAAGCCACGTGCCCAAGGCCACACAGAGGGTTAGAAGCAGAATCAAACCGAGAGCCAGGTCTCCTGGCTGAATAGTTGCTATGGCTTCCCTGGGTCTCAGATCCTTCCAGAGACCACAGAATCTGAGAGGTCTCCAAAGTCCCTAACATTGCATCAACAATTACATGTGTGAAGCCTTTTTCCGGGGAAAGGGTCTACACATAGACTGCAATAGGATCTATAATAGTCTATAAAAGGGTCTGTAATAACACAATTAGAACAGTATTATTAACAACAACAAATAATATTTATGAACTAGTTACTCTGTCCCAGGCTCACCTGAAACACTTCACATATATATGAACTCATTTAGGCCTCACAAGAACCCTGTGAGGAGGGCGCTACTATTATACCCATTTTACAGGTGAGGAAGTTGAAGCTCAGAGAAGTTAAATAACGCCCAAGCTCACGTGGCTGGTAAGTGGCAGAACTGGCCTGTGTTAGACCTTCTGGTTTATATCTTCCCTGACCGGGCATTACTAGTATTATCAGAACAAATCACTCCGGGTAATACATTTCTCTCTGATAATAAGATTTCCAAATAATAACTGAGAGGTTCCTTTAATTTCAAGGCATATAAGATCCTATAAATTCCCGACATATCCAAAGAACCTAGGATGCCCTCGTGATTATGGTAATTGGCATGGATCCAGGTATTTCTATACTGACCCAACTCTAGGGGTCAAAGCTAGTATGTCTACAGGTTATTTCAACAAACCAAGTTTCCCCCTTTCTCAAGGAAATACCCCTTGTCTTTGCTCTACTAACTGTGGCATGAGGGTGGCTCTGGGTGTCAATTTGGCTTTAGGATTAAATTCTCAGGCGGGCTGACCTGGTGTAACCTGGCTGGTCAAAGAACACCACCGCAACTGAAACAAAACCCAGAGCTGGGAGACGTGCCTGGTGCCAGGAGCCTATGATTAGGCTGTGACTGAAATCGATTTATTGCTCTGGGATTAGATCCTGTGTAAAGTGTCTGCAGAGAGCTGAGCTCTGGCCAAGTTACCAGGATTATTTCCTTCTACACACTCTTGACCATATATAGACAGCAAAGCAACTCTACAACTGATGGGTCTGGGACATGTCAGGGAGGGGAGGACTCACATCTACCGAGTACTTGCTGTGTGCCAGCCTTGGGTCAGGCATTTTACAATGTGCAGACATTCATTCTTCCCAGTGATCCTAGGAGGGCACTATCCATATTCCTGTTTCATAGATAAGAATGTTGCAGCTTAGAAAAGCAAGGCCACCCGCCCAATGTCAAGCAGTGGACAGGTATCAGAAAAGGAACTGAATCTAGGTCAACTGTGCCCTTGAACCAGGTGTCACAAGAGCCTGAGGTGGAACAGGGTGTCAGGGCCTCAGGATGTTAAAGTCACAGATTCAAGGCCCTTAGCAATCATTCATTTCATCTTTTCTTTTTTTTTTTGAGACAAGAGTTTCACTCTGTCACCCATACTGGAGTACAGTGGCACAATCTTGGCTCACTGCAACCTCCGCCTCCCTGGTTCAAGTGATTCTCCTGGCTCAGCCTCCCGAGTAGCTGGGATTACGGGTGCATGCCACCATGCCCGGCTAATTTTTGTATTTTTAGTAGAGATGGGGTTTTATCATGCTGGCCAGGCTGGTCTCGAACTCCTGACCTCAAGTGATCCCCCGCCCCAGTGTACCAGAGTGCTGGGATTACAGGCGTAAGCCACCGTGTCTGGCCCATTTCATCTTTTCTTCTTGCAAATGAAGTCAGAGGCCCAGAGAGGGCAAGTAGCTTGCTAAGGCCACCCAGCGAGTCAGGGCTATAGCTGGGACTCTGTCCAGGGCTCCTTTTACCTCACTATACCATCTCTTAAAGGGAGAAGGGGACTCTGTTATCTGCAAAGTACACTGAGGTGGAGATCCTTGGATCCTGATGGGGGTTGCAGGGCTCTCTTACTCAGATTCCTCCTCTTTGATTCCCTTCAGGCTCTCCAGGAACGTCTCTTCAAGGACATCCAGCTCCTCCAAGGGCACCTGGAGCAGGGAGGTCATGTGGCACACGAGGACTCTGGCCCGGGCATCATAGTGCCCTCGAAAGACAGAAACAACAGCGGAAAAGAATCAGTTTAGGTTTTAAGAACAGTGATGTTAGCAGTGTAACTGATAAAACCCACACTGGAAACAGCCTAAATGTACAACTCCATGGGAGCCAGTCAATGAAAGAAAATGACACAGTTGCCTGGACAGAATACTACACAACTATTAAAATATTCAGCAAAAGCAAGGTGGGACTGGGTGCGGTGGCTCACTCCTGTAATCCCCGCACTTTGGGAGGCTGAGACAGGCAGATCGCTTGAGTCCAGGAGTTCAAGACCAGCCTGGGCAACATAGTGAGACCGCCCCCCACCTCTACAAAAAAATACAAAAATTAGCCAGGCATTGTGGTGAGTGCCTGTGGTCCTAGCTACTCAGGGGCTGACGCAGGAGGATCTCTTGAGCCTAGGAGGTTGAGGCTGCAGTGAGCCGTGATCATGCCACTGCACTCCAGCCTGGGTGACAGAGTGAGACCCTGTCTCAAAAAAGAAAAAAGGAAGGTGGTATTTCTCACCAGTCAAATGAGCAAAGATCAGTTTTTAAAATTTCACAGCTGTGAAGGAGATGATAAAAATGGGTGCTCAATGGGTGCTCAAAGACATTGCTGGTGGAAGTATGCACTGGTATAAACGTTCTGGAGGGCAACTGGACAACACATATCAAAAACTTAAAAAAAATACATCCCCTTTGCCCCAGGAATTCCATTTCTGGAATTTTAATCTTAAGAAAACAACCGTAAATGCAGACGATTTGTAGTAAATAAAGGCACTATGCTGTATTTATAATATGAAATTGGAAACAACCTGGAGATTTCCAACATCAGGAAATTAGTTATAAACCACACCTATCCAGCTGAAAACCATGGGGCCATAAAAAATGATTCCCAAGAAAAGTATGTCATAACTTTCAAAAATAAGTTCTTACCCAGAAGAATTTATGGCTAAGAGAATTTATGGCTAAGTGGTGGTACATGTCTATAATCCCAGGCACTTTGGGAGCTGACATGGGAGGATCACTTGAGCTCAGGAGCTCCAGATCAGCCTGGGCAACATAGCAAGATCCCATCTCAATAATTTAAAAAAATAAAAATAAAAAAGAGACAGTTCTGTTTGGATATATAAATAAAGAAAAAGGAAAATAAATGCTTATACAATGAAACAAAATTTTTAATGCATAGAAGATGGACTGGATAACATGTCATGAGGTCCCAACTAAGAAACAAAACAAAAAACAAATACCGCACAGGAAAAAAAAAAATGAAGGAGGCCGGGTGCCTGTAATCCTAGCACTTTGGGACGCTGAGGTAGGCAGATCACTTGAAGCCAGGAGTTCGAGACCAGCCTGGCCAACATGGTGAAACCCCATCTCTACTAAAAATACAAAAATTAGCCAGGCGTGGTGGGGGGCGCCTGCAATTTCCAGAAACTTGGGAGGCCGAGGCGTGAGCCACTGCGCCTGGCTGACAATTCAAATTTAGTATCTTATGGTTCTGAAGGCCACATATTCTAAAATCACAGTGTTAGCAAGGAGAGAATCTGTTTTCTTGCTTTTCCCAGCCTGTTTTCCTTGGCTTGTGGCCCCTCCCTCCAATCACTCCAGCCTCTGCTCCCATGGTCACATCTCCTACTCTGACTTAGATCCTCCTGTTTTCCTCTTACAAAGACCTTGTGATTGCATTAGGCCTATCTGGAAAGCCCAGGATCGTCTCCCCATCCCAAGATGCTTAATGTAATCACACCTGCAAAGTCCCTTTTGCCATGTAGGGTAACATATTCAGTTGCCAGGGATTTGGATGTGAACATCTTTAGGGGCCATTATTCTATCACTTAACCCTTGACCTGGCTCAACCATCACCTCCTCTCTGAACCCTCTCTGCATAATTCCTTCTTTTGGGGGTCTCTGATCACTTACACAGGCCTCTCTCTCAGTATCTTCCCCATTTGATTGTACTCGTCATATCTTAGTAGACTGTAAGCTTAGTCATCTGTTTTTCCAACCCCTGTACCTACCTGGGGTGTGACACTTAGTAAGAACTCAAAAAATGTTTACACAGTGAATGAACCAATGAATAAACTCTTCTGATTTTTAGGTCAAATTCTCTGTGACTCAAGTACTATGACAGGCTTCCAAATTGAATCTTTTTGACAGAGAAAGTCACAAGGACCTGGCATTCAGCTACTCCGCACTCACCTTCCCGTGTGCCCTGGCCCTGTGAAGACACGAATTGTCTAAAACGCTAATTCCCCAGTCCAGCTGCCTATCAGCATGACCTGAGAAGCTTGCCAAAAATAGAGTTTCCTGAGTTCTGGTATAGGGGACCCTCCTTTCCCGTTTACCATGATGCAGTCTCTGAAGTCTTGAAGTTTGAGGTTTCAGCTTCTACAAAAGAAATCAGTTCCTTCCTTGACCCAGGGTCCCCAGAGTGGAACAGGGTCTCTCGGGGCTGCCCTGCTGTCTCCCGGGATGAGGAGCTGTCTACGTGCTGGAGACAGACACCACGTGCTGTGGCTTGGGGTTATTAGGTTCAGCAAACTTCACGGAAAAAAGGAGTTCCTTGCTTTCCCCATAGGAACAAAGACTACTGTGCCCACGTGATAATCGGGTTGTAGAAACCAAGCTTTGGCTCTGATGATTAATTGGTGGCAATGATAATTAGTTGCTAATACATACTCCACTGGTCAAGGCTGCAGTGATTCACCTTCTAGCATGCAGGCTGCCGGGTGCACGTGTGATTAACACTCCTGTGGTAATCTCAGGCACGGGGCTTTGTATCTTAGCCTTGTGTACAGGTCATTTCAAGGACTTGGTGGCTGGGATGCTGGTTCGTAGTTCAAGGCATGTTCCTTCTGGAAGCTCTAGGAGCGAATCTCCTTGTCTAGAAGGCAGTAGGGAGGGGCAGAGTCCTGGGCTACCCAGGATACTGACATTCTCTGGCCCAGGCTCTACTGCCAACATGCCAGGGGGCCAACTTGCTCCTTGAGAGCCAGTCCCAATAAAAAGTGCCCCATATGCCAGGCGCGGTGGCTCACGCCTGTGCCTAGAATTCCAGCACTTTGGGAGGCCGAGGCGGGCCAATCACTTGAGGTCAGGAGTTCAAGACCAGCATGGCCAATATGGTGAAACTCCTTCTCGACTAAAAAATGCAAAAATTAGCCGGGTGTGGTGGCGCACATTTGTAATCCCAGCTACTCGGGAGACTGAGGCAGGAGAATTGCTTGAACCTGGGAGGCAGAGGTTACAGTGAGCCAAGATCATGCCACTGTACTCCAGCCTGGGCAACAGAGGGAGGCTCCGTCTCAAAAACAAAATAAAATAAAATAAAAATAATAATTAAAAAGTGCTCCAGCCACCCAGGGGCTCAGACCACAAGCCTGGACATTGTTCTTACTTCTTGTTTCCCTGTCCCGACATCCACCCCACCAGCTGATGCTGACTGCTACATCTGCAAAACATAGATCCTGAGTCTGACCACTTCACTCCATCTCCACTGCCACCACCACAGCCATCGCTCTCCAACTACCAGCCGCCTCACCACTTTCTTATTTTCCACTCTTGCCTCTGCACTCCATTTGCCAAATGGCAGCCACTGAGCTTCTTTAAAGTCATCGATCCGGTCGTGTTCTCTCCCTGCCTTACAGCTCTCTGACCGCTCCCCAGTGCACTTAGAATAAAGTCCACATTTCTTTCCATGGTCTGCAAGACTGCACATTATCCAGCCCCTTCCTGCCACGCTCTCCCACCTCACCTTCTACCCGGCCCTGCTTCAGGCACCAGCAGCTCAAGAAGCCAAGCTCATGGCTGCTTTGGGGCCTTTGCACTTGCTGTTTTTGATATCTGGGAAGCTCCTGCCCCAGATCTCTGCTTGGCTGCCCTTTCCCATCAGTCAGGTCTCCACTTAAATATCACCTCCTCAGAGGAGCCAGCGGCTCCTGAATTAGAACAGCTCAGCCCCTAGTCACCCCATCTCCATTACCCCATTTCCCTGTATAGGTTTATTGTCTGCCTTTCCTCATCAGAATGCCTGTCCCACAAGGGCAGGGACCTTTGCTTTGTTCCTTGCTATTCTCCCACTGCCTGGGACAATGCCTGGCAGTTAGTAGGTGCACAGTTAAGATGTGTTGAGTCATTAGCTGACCAAAGTTCTCTTTCGCCTGCCAGGGTTCTTTGCTGTGGCCACCTGCCCCAGGCAGCACAAAAGACCTTTCCCTGCCTCCCACCTCCACCTGAGACTCCCTCTCCCTCTCTAGTACCCTCCGAGTCCTGCTCCCCCAGGGGGCTAGAGGAGAGTGGGTTGATGGGTTAAGGCCTCTCTCCTCCTCTCAGTGGGGTCTTCTCTTACAGTGGTGAATTATTCTTTTTTTTTTTTTTTTTTTTTTTTGAGA